TCTGTAATGACCAGAATGTATTTGGCTATGTCATAAATCAACACACCAGAAATCTACGATCTGTAATGACCAGAATGTATTTGGCTATGTCATAAATCAACACACCAGAAATCTACGATCTGTAATGACCAGAATGTATTTGGCTATGTCATAAATCAACACACCAGAAATCTACGATCTGTAATGATCAGAATGTATTTGGCTATGTCATAAATCAACACACCAGAAATCTACGATCTGTAATGACCAGAATGTATTTGGCTATGTCATAAATCCCATTACAGATCGTAGATTTCTGGTGTGTTATCAGAATGTATTGAATCATCACTTAAATACCTCGCTATTAACATTATTGTTGTTTTCAACACAAAGCTACACAATCGGCTATCTGCACGCTATCAACTTCCGGGAATCGAACCCCGATTTTTGACATTGTAATTCCAATAAAGATGGTTGTAGCCGTAATCCCAATAATGTCTCACGAGGTTCGATTAGCTTAGAAGATTTAGGCTAATCATACATCAGTATACCTAAGCATAATCTTCATAAATATAGGACTGAGCGGTCCGGCCCAGTGAATTGCGTGTTGGACTGTGGAGCTGACGTTCTGCGATTCGCGTCCCGTTAGTACCAAATCAAAAATCGCGTTTCTAAATTTGGGGCCGTTGGTGTGTTATTAGGGTAATAGTTTAAAAAAAAAACACTATTCGATCTGTAGAACTATGCATGGACTTTTCTCTACGTTAAAATATTTTTATTTTCTGAGCTCATGATTTACTGATGAAGGCCCCGGTAAGAAGGCAGAAAGCTCGCAAATAAAAGTATTTTAACGTAGAAAAAAGTCCGTGTATAATTCTACATGTTAATCTATCTACGTTATGAGTCTTTAAAAAAAATATTCGATCTTATATAAGTAGCTCTAGAGTTGGCGGTGGGTAATATTGACTAGGCGCCTTCCTACTTGCCTATCACTTCAAATTTAGGGCTAAATTCAACAAAAATGATTTGATTGTTTGCAGTTAACCACAAAGCTCTGCCCATCACGGGTATCGAAACTCGGTTGCTAGCTTGTAAGTCCGAAGACAAACCGCTGTGCCACTTACAACGAACAATCACAAATGTAAAATCAATTAATATTCAAGAGTTGTTGTTTTGTTTTTTTTTGTCTTACAGCCAATAATATTAACGAAACTAACTTTAAATGAGAAATGGAACATGTCTTTAAGTAAATCACATACATCCTTTTAATAGATTAAATTGCTGCTGTTTTTTGTTGTTGTTGTTGTTGTTTTTTTTTTAAGCACAAAAAGAAAATCTCATTGCTATTCCATTAGTAAAATACTTTCTATTCAATGAGGTGAAGGTTGAAGCAATAATTATAAAAGCAACGCATAAATATATTATATACACACACACAAGATTTATGTGTTGTGAACTCTGTACAGTAGACATGTACACAGAAATATGATGAGGAACGCTGACTATTATGCTTTTAGCTTAACAAGAAAAGTCAGTAATTTTATGTTGCGAAACGCTATATAGCCGTTTCGTTTTGTTGTTGTTTTTATCAAGGAAATTTTCACTGGATTAAGGATAAAAATGTCATCTGGACAGATACGGTTGTAAAAACTATTTATTTATTTATATCTACACACATTTTTTTTTTTCAAAATGACAGAATTTCGTTTTCATCTTTGGATTGAAAAGATTTGACTGTCATGCTGGTGAAAACTGTGAAGATTTCGTTCTGTTGATTTTTTTTTCTCTCTTTCATTCGCAGAGGACGAATATATTGTATTAAAACGATTTTGGAGCATCGTCACGTCGTTACAGCCCATGTCACCACGTCCGGCCATGTTCTATCTGACAACCGTCTGTCTGGACAATAGCTCTGCAGCGTAATTTCTATTGTAAAATATTCCGTCGTGAAACTGTCATGTCCAAAACACACTTACAACACTAGAATCCGGGTTTCGATACCCGTGGTGGGCAGAGCACAGGTAGCCCATCGTACAGCTTTGTGCTTAATTACAAACAAACAAACAAACATTTTAAGCACAAAGCTACACAATAGATTATCCGAGCTGTGCCCATCGCGGGTAGCGAACCCCAATTTTTAGCGTTATTATTTCGCGAACTTACCATTCCAAGTGGGTTGTGGTACCTTATGTGATTGTAATAAGATGTATTTGGTGTACAATTTTTTGTTGTTGTTTTTTAACCTTCAGATTAATTGTTATCTTAATACCGAACTGTCACTAACGATTTAAAAAACATGTAGTCAAAAAATAGGTAGCTTAAGAATAAAGTTACTGTTTCGTTTCTGGTGATGCCGAACACAAAGCTATGTATATAAAATTGTAAGAAAAGCGTATAATGACAGAACTTTGAAAAGTAACTTCTACCTGGTACAGAACCATCGGTATAGATGTAACATTTGCTGATATTATTTCAGAGCTAGACACACACAACGAAAATATAGAAGCCGATGCTTAGAAAATTTTGATATTCTTGTAGTAGCTAGTAGCGAGGGAAATCAGCCAGCCGGTGAAAGTGGGCACTTGCTTGGAACTAGTCTGAGTCTGTGTAGTCATACTTGCTTGGAGCTAGTCTGAGTCTGTGTAGTCATACTTGCTTGGAGCTAGTCTGAGTCTGTGTAGTCATAAAAACTTTTGTTGCTGTGATATTTCATGTCAAAAACTATACTTTACTCGTGAAACTTCTTGGTAGTAAAACCCTCCGAATCTATCAACAACAACAACAACAAAATTATCGTAATCCATTTTTGTGTGATGTTTCGTTTTGGTGTTTTCAACCTGAACAACATCTCATGCGACACGTGGGATAAAATGACCAGGCCAAAGATCTTTAAAGATTAGGCATGAGGCATGACCAGTCATATTATTTTAGGACTACTGACTAGAGAAAGGGCAATAAGTAAACAGTACATGCCGCCTATGCGTCTATTCTTGACCAAGTAGCGGAACTAGCTTTTACAACCATAACGCCCATACCCGAAAGTGCAGAGCGTGTTCGGCGGCATACTAGGTCTCGAACCATGAACCATCCGATTCGTAGAACGGTTTCATAACCACGCGAAGGTGATAAATCAAGATTTCAACTACGGTCTGCTGTGTGAAATATTAACTCAACATTTCAACTAGGGTCTGCTGTATGAAGTATTAACTCAACATTTCAACTAGGGTCTGCTGTGTGAAGTATTAACTCAACATTTCAACTAGGGTCTGCTGTGTGAAGTATTAACTCAACATTTCAACTAGGGTCCGCTGTGTGAAGGATTAACCCAACATTTCAACTACGGTCCGCTGTGTGAAATATTAACTCAACATTTCAACTAGGGTCTGCTGTGTGAAGTATTAACTCAACATTTCAACTACGGTCTGCTGTGTGAAGTATTGACTCAACATTTCAACTACGGTCTGCTGTGTGAAGTATTGACTCAACATTTCAACTACGGTCTGCTGTGTGAAGTATTGACTCTGCTCGTAGATGTGTGTATATTTATATATAAAAGATAATGTTAACAAAAACTTAGAAACTTGCTGTTCATCGAGAAAGTATTCTTGTTTTGTATTTTTCACACCGTGGTTTGTTTGTTTGTTGTTGTTTTTATCAGGACGAACGTGGGTCATCATGCACTATAAAGATTGTTATTATGTGTAAACGCCGAAGCAAAGAAACCTTTTTTTTTTATTCCAAATATACTATGAATAATAATAATAAAAAAAGGGGATGCTGAAACTACTAATTAAATCTGAGAACAAACTTTGCGTTTAAATGTTTCAAATAACTAACACTATGTTTATTTTTTGTTTTGTTTTTTTACAAAGCAGCAGTGTTATTTATATTCAGTCTATGTTAAAGCGCGGAAATACACACAATGGGCTATCAGCGCTGTGCCCGTTGAAGTTATCGAAACCCGATTTTCAGTGCTATCAGCCCTCGTACATACCGTTTAGCCACCAGGTGGGGAGAGAACAATTTGAGGTACTCAGAAGGAAAGATAAAATACGATCTAATAATAAGAACGACATTCTTGCAAATGGAAAATGTTGAGAAACTAAAGATAAACCAAAGTATTATAATAATTTCAAACAGGATTAACAATACACGATGATAGTTATTCTTCTTAACTGGGCATGAAATAAAAACTTTGCTCACACCTGTACGTTGGCAGGCTTAATTCTACCATTCTGTCGTATCAGCTGAATCTGTTTGAGGTTAAAGTTGGAAAGTCCAATAGCCTTTGCCATTCCTATCTGAAAGGCGTCTTCCATGCCCTAGACGTAACAAAAAATGATCATTTATTTTATTCTGAAACTCTTTATAATATCTGGTTTATCGACACGACACGTGAAATATCTGACGATTAATTTATGTTTTAAAATCATTTACTATGTTTAAATCTATCTATCTATTTATTCATTCATCTATACTTACATCCATCTATCTATTTCGACCAAAAAACGTTAACTTGCCTTCCATGTCTGAAAAAGGTCGTCCTGGCTGATATCAACAAAGCCCCCTGGTGTTGTAGAGTCTTCATTACATTCCTGTCAAAGACATGAAATTCACGGATGAAAACACCCACGTGAAGTATCTCTGTAATGAGCCTGTTTTATGGTTTAATTAAGCATAGTATTAATAATAACTTTATCAAGTATTATGTTTCGCAAATACTAAGTCTCTCAGTTGCATAAGGAAAATTGTGTGATAAGGTTATAGTTCGTGAAAAATACTCTACGAAGATGGGGGACATTTTCTATCCTAAGGTGGCTCAGCAGTAAGCTTGAGGGCTCATAACGCTACAGTTCTGGGCCCGATCCCCTTAATGGACAGAGTGCAAAAAGTCTATTATGTAGACCTACGCTAAACAATCAAACGAAACGAAATTTTCTAAACTAATTGCTTTACTGTATATAACTCACACCAGGTCCCACCAGCAATAACTTAAGCCTTATTGTATATAATTCACACCAGGTCCCACCAGCAATAAGCTTTACTGTATATAATTCACACCAGGTCCCACCAGCAATAACTCAAGCCTTATTGTATATAACTCACACCAGGTTCTACCAGCAGTAACTGAAGCTTTACTGTATATAATTCACACCAGGTCTCACTAGCAATAACTCAAGCCTTATTGTGTATAACTCACACCAGGTTCTACCAGCAGTAACTGAAGCTTTACTGTATATAACTCACACCAGGTCCCACCAGCAATAACTCAAGCCTTATTGTATATAACTCACACCAGGTTCTACCAGCAGTAACTGAAGCTTTACTGTATATAATTCACACCAGGTCTCACTAGCAATAACTCAAGCCTTATTGTGTATAATTCACACCAGGTCCCACCAGCAATAAGCTTTACTGTATATAATTCACACCAGGTCCCACCAGCAATAACTCAAGCCTTATTGTATATAACTCACACCAGGTTCTACCAGCAGTAACTGAAGCTTTACTGTATATAATTCACACCAGGTCTCACTAGCAATAACTCAAGCCTTATTGTGTATAACTCACACCAGGTTCTACCAGCAGTAACTGAAGCTTTACTGTATATAACTCACACCAGGTCCCACCAGCAATAACTCAAGCCTTATTGTATATAACTCACACCAGGTTCT